TAGAAGTATTAGATTTGGGGTGAAAGTATGTATCATGCGAGGTAAAGGGATAATACTCTCATTGCTCTTCTCGTTTTAATGTCAACTTTTGCTTTACTTGATATCTTTGATTCTATTTTTTGAAATTCGAGTCCTTGGGAAATCGTATGCCAGTTGTAATGGAATAAATGCTTAAGAATAGAACTTGAATCCTGTGTTGTCTATTTCCACTCGTCCTGTATTCTAGTACTTCATCTTTCTGCTTAATCTCATAAGCATTTGGATGGTGGGCATTATGTGCTACCAATTTGTCCCCCTGCATATTATATATCTTTTCTCTTTTCAGATTGCCCTGGAGGAACTCGCTGAGAGAGTGAATGGTGACATACGGTTGGCCCTAAATCAGCTCCAATATATGAGCCTGTCCATGTCAGTCATTAATTACGATGATATCAGGCAGCGCCTTCTAAGTAGTGCGAAGGATGAAGATATTTCCCCTTTCACAGCTGTTGACAAGTAATGTCTCAAGTCGTTTACTTTCAGTTCATCGTTTCACATAGTAGTGTATATTTAAGGCTCTCTGAGTGTTTGGCATTGCCAAATTGTCTGAAGTTAACTCATATAAATGCTGTTATATGAAGAAGTTCTTTCCGTTGTTTTGTAGTAGAAAGTTCGTTTTTAATTACTCTGGAGATTTCTTCATAGTTAACTGTTAATTATTTCCTTCCAGGTTGTTTGGTTTTAATGGTGGGAAGCTGAGAATGGATGAACGGATTGACCTAAGCATGAGTGACCCTGATCTTGTTCCCCTTATTATACAGGTCTATATTTTTGGATACTTGTAGGGTTGTTTTGTTAGATCTTTTGGAATGGAAATTAATTTCCTGCTACCTTTTACATTAGTGATTTCTGAACTTTGAGTTTCCCACATGAGAAAGCATAGAACATTGAAATTTGTATCTCACTTACCATTAAATTTAAAAACTGAATTTTATTTCCATCTGGGCAGGAAAACTATCTCAATTATAGGCCAAGTTCCACTGGCAAAGATGAGGCAAAACGAATGGAGTTACTTGCCCGTGCTGCTGAATCTATTGCAGATGGTGATATTATCAACGTGCAGATTCGGAGATATAGGCAGTGGCAACTCTCTCTATCTTGCTGTGTTGCATCTTCTATTCTCCCGTAAGTTGCTTCCACTTCTTGAGAATAAGACTGATCCATCTTTAACAAAAGTGCTATTTTCTCTCTCTACATGAAGTCTGTGTTGCTGAAGAATGTACCATTTCTTATCATCTAGTGCTTTCATTTTGTGTCTGTGCTTTCTAATAAAGTTCCTCTTAGATGGAGATCAAGTTTCATAACCCATTTTCTGCCATGTATGTTAATATGGGTTGTGCCATTGGATAGATATCGTTTCGCCGGTGTAGAAGGCCAGGGATAGAATATATGTGCTTTTTAATGCTTGAGAACTGACGTGTACTTGTTTTTGTTTGATTAGAGCTGCATTGTTGCATGGATCAAGGGTGGTATTGGAGCAGGTAATGATTCTTTAAGTGAAGCTCATTATACCATATGGATGTAACCTGGAAACTTTTGCTATCATTCATCGTGCCTCCTTTTCCTGATGATGCATTCCATATTCCACATGACACATGTATCTGCATTTAAGTTTTGAGTCTGCAATACACAAATCATATAGTGACAAATTGGTTTTTTTTTTGTGTAAAATCAGTTCTTAAAGAGGTTGTAATATTTGAGCCTGATTACTTTTGCGTATGGTTATGGTTATGGTTATAGTGTGAGCCTCTTTCTCCGTTTTGTAGCTCTGAAGCTGCCTTAAAATATCCTGACTCAGATTAACGATGCATAGTTGTGGACAAATTTATTGAATGCAGGGAGAGAGAAATTTCAATAGATTTGGTGGGTGGCTTGGCAAGAATTCTACCTCGGGAAAAAATACAAGGTTGCTGGAGGATCTGCATGTTCATGTCCTTGCTTCCGGTGAATCCACCTCTGGAAGGTTATATTCACCTGTACAGTTAGCTTTATGAGTTACTTCTTTCTGCTCGTGAAAGGTTTCCTTTACTTTGCGGTGTCTACTCTTATAAATCTTTTAGACAATGTTTATTTAAATGCGACCTTGCTTTTCTTCATATTTCATCTGTCTGTGAAAAGCCAACTTTTTGTACCCCCCTACCTTTCTTTTTTATCAATGTTATGTGATATGTCTTATTTCAACTTTCTGACTGCTATCAACATCGACCACAGGCAAACTCTCCGTGTTGATTATCTTCCCCTTCTCTTGAATCGCTTGACGAGTCCACTTCAGACTCTGCCTAAGGTTTGACTTACTAATATCTGCTTCTTGTTCGTGAGCTCACTATACAGTTGTTTTTATAATATCCTGGACAAGGTTAATATGATGAGATATTCTGTATTATCTGTAACTTGATCTTTTATATGTAAAAACATTTACCCAGGATGAAGCTGTTACAGAAGTTGTTGAGTTCATGAACTCCTACTCTATAACCCAGGAGGACTATGATACAATTCTGGACTTGGGAAAATTTAAGGTACACACTATTTCCTTTGTCACGCGATATAACAGCCAGAGCTGCGACAATGAATTTTCACCAATGTGTTGCAAACTTTACAAATCAGGGACATGCAGATCCGCTGGAAGGTGTTGCACCTGCAATTAAAGCAGCTTTGACTAAAAAATATAATGAGACGAATAAAACAAGAATGGTACGCGCTGCTGACATGGTGCAGCTTCCGGGAATGAAAAAGGCACCAAAGAAACGAATAGCTGCCATGCTTGAACCAGCTGTTGAAAGTTTGAGAGATGAAGATGGCGAGCCGATGGCAGAAAATGAAGAAGAAAATGCATCAGACGCTGAAGATCCAGGTACTGTGCATCTTTTGGACCTAATATAGAGTAGATTCAGGTAGCTGGACTTGTATAGTCAAAGACAATGTCTCAGAAGACATTACAAAATTGCCTAGTGTATCTAACGGGACTTGGAACTTACTTGACCAGATGTAATTCTGACTGGGGTTTCTCTAATCTTTTGCTTTTGATATTCCAGAAGAAGCAACCAATGGAGAAAACGTGGAGTCAAATCTAAAAAATCTGAATGCTAGAGGTCGGTCTTATTATTCATTTTGATCAGTTGTATATTCCTTTAGAAAGCTAGCCACTGTAGAACCAAAATTATTATCATCTTGGCTCTGAACGAGACCGACTTGCCGGAATTTTTACTCCACATCTCTCTCTCTCTCATAAGTCTAAACAAACTATAATTCTGGTTGCAGGGATCCAAGTCGAAGTGGATATGAAAGGAGCTGGAAGCTCAGGCTCAAGAA